GCCGGTAAGTTAGCTTGTCCATAAAACTCTTGTCCTGAAGTGGGGTCAAGTTACGCTGCCCCAAGCTCCTGAGTTCAGCTCCTCAACCAGCTTAGCTGCCGTGTGCGTCTAATGATTCGCTTTTTGATTTACAGGATAACCGTTTTTTTCCACAAGATTTTTAAACCGCCGCATCTTACTCGATACACATTTTATTACGCGAAAAAGCTTGACTACCTCTTGGTCCAGTGCAGATTTTCCGGTTATCCGTAATTTCTCAGTAAGTCGTATTTAGTTCATGGCAGGAGGGGTTTTTAAGTTTCCATGCTTTCTTCCTTCTCGCCCAAACGATAAAGTAGAGGCGTCATTAGTTCAAATTAAGCTGGCGGGGTTTCGTTCACTGTTAAACCAATCTGTTGATTTCTTCGGGTGTTCAATCAACTGTCACCTCACTTCTCATCCCGGGTCCGTTGACGTTTGTTTTATTTTTTTTCCGCCCGCGACGGGAGCTGATCGCACTGACACATAAAATTACACAACTAAGAGATGTGGAATGTGTTCTGGGCACACTGTCGTTTTGTCATCGAGAGGATCGATTGATGCTACCCACTTTCGATCGTGTATTTTCCGACAAACTTATTGCCGTTGCTTATGCTGCTCCCGATTCCCCGTTTGCCTTTTGTTTGCATTCCAATCAGATTCCCTCTCTCCTGACTTGCTACTGTTTTTGCGCAATTTTGCATGTCCCGCTGCATCTTGATTCGCACAGGTATATCCTTCTCGACCGCGGTTGAGGACATACCACTATGCTCGAGTTCCGTGATTGTCGGCGAATCGGAATCGCATGAACCGGGAAAACCCGGTCCGTCTGACGTATCCATCACCACGGGTATTTGCCTCAGTTTATTTATTTATGTAATTCCCGCTATTACGCCTTTTTCGATTTTGCGCGCATTTTACTCACAAGCCTGTTAAATTTGGCTTCTTGTTACTTTGGAGCAGATGCGCTATGACAATTGTTCTGTTTTTACGCTTACATTCTGGCCCCC